ACGAACGTCCACAAGATTCCGCTTCGCTTGAATTGCTTCGATGTTTCGCCACGAAAGTCGTCTGAAGCTTTTGAAAAAGAAAATGGCAGCAAAATTTTAGCATACATCAATAGCCAGTATGTTTGGAGGGGAGAAACGGAAAATTTCCCTCCTAAACAAACGCGTGTTGTCCTTATTTTCCTGAGCTAATGTGCCGTTTGTGAGCTTCCTCAGCATAGACCACTGAGAAATGAAAGCAAAGGGAGAGAAGCTGGAGTGAGAGGGGTGCTAACTGTGGAAAGAAAGGAGTAGGATGAGTATTTTTGAAAGCCACTGAAAAAAACATAGTGAAAAACATTTTCACTTACAAAATGAGCTAGCTGGAAAATTGTAAACAAGGTAATGGTGCGGATTTTCCAGTATAAATAAAAAGTACGCCAACAGGGCATAAGTTGGAGTAATGATGTTGTTGTCACCCGAACAAGAAGAAAGCGTTTCTTAGTTCTGCTGCTTTCGACAGTTGTTAAAAAGAAAGCTTCGCAGGATGAAACAATGAGCGCTTCAGGCATTGTGAAAGTATCATGTATGCATAGGCAGATGTTGCAACTGCTGAGGAATATGGTACTTTGGTTTAGCATGTCGTGTCCGAATTCGATTCTCTTCCGGTCCATACTCACTTGCAAAAGTACTTCATCCGCCGTTTAAATTTTGATAAATTTCATAATTACTATGTCCGGAAAACAAATATAATCAGAGGTAACGAATTTTTGATAATCACTAATGAAAATGATTACTTTTCAACCACGTGAGCATGCAAAACAGTTCCATCAGCGCAAGCGCAGCCTAGCTGGGTACTATCTGGTGACCAGCTGATATTGTAGATACTTCCAGTGGTTAGTTTTTCCAGCGAATATGACCACTGCAATATTGTAAGCCGTTATGGATAATAAAAGCTGCTCGAAAAAAGCAAATGTTGATAGAATTTTAATGAATTATCTTTAATTTATCTTTTAAAACTGCAATATTTATTCTTGCATTTTTCATGAATTGTGAGAGATAAAACGAGTTTTCCGGAAAAACTGTGACAAAAAACATTTTGAGAATTGAATGTTCACGAATGACAATTATCAAAAACTTTATAAACTAATCATCAAAGTTTCTAGTGGACTCACCCCGGCTTTATCACAGAGTCTGAGAAGATTGAAAGATCCAACAGCAAACAGATTTCCATCGGGATCCCATGCGATTGCCGTAATCGGGTAATCATGCGGACTACTAGAATACATTGGTCGCCCATACTCATCCCATACCTTAAATTTAGTCAATCTTTGCAGTGAAAAGTATCGAAAACGTATTAACCTTCGGTGCGTTATTGGCAGTTCAGTCATGGTTCTAAATCCCAGTTATACTTCAATATATGTTGAAGTACTCAAAATTAACTTGAGTGATGGCGTAATGCTAAAAGCAAGTGCTCATTAGCAAGGGTTTTTTGCAGAAGCAAGCTCATTGCACATTTGAATGAACGAGTTATAAGATGGCTGAATGTTTCACTAGCAGCTGGTTGAAGTGTCATTCGAT